TCATGCCCTTTACATATTTGGAATACTAACGGTTTTTAGCATCTGTCCGTGTTTTGAATTGTTGGTATGCCTTTTTCGTGATAAATTCAGAGGTTTTTGTGAGTGATGAAATTATGTGTTGTTTACTAAATAATGCTTGCAAGGACAAAAATTGTAGCTTTAAAGGCTGCACTATTCTTTCATTGTGTTTGTTTGTCTATCCTTGTCTCGCTTTGGCTTGTCTAAATGATGATTTTATTATAGACATTGAATTGATTTTGCTTGACATATTTTGTGGTTGTGTGTTTGAAGATCTTGATGTCCAGTCAATGTTGGAGGAAGCAAAAAGCAGGTGGCTTCGGCCAAACGAGATCTACGCAGTCCTCTCTAACCCTCAATACTTCACCATCAATGTCAAGCCTGTGAATTTACCCAACAGTAATCATTCTGTTCTACTTGGGAAAAGACCACCACTCAATTTTTTAGGATGTTTCTTCAATTTTCCATGGCTTCTTACTCTGATTTATGTTTTTAGGTGGTAGAATTATATTGTTCGATCGTAAGATGTTGAGGAACTTCAGAAAAGATGGTCATAACTGGAAAAAGAAAAAGGATGGAAGGACAGTTAAAGAAGCGCACGAACACTTGAAAGTGAGTTTTTTTTGCTCATAGCATGACTTGTGTCTCTTGCTCAGCTAATTAATGTCCTTTGATTTGATGATAGGTTGGTAACGAGGAAAGGATTCATGTATACTATGCGCACGGTGAAGATCACACTACCTTTGTTCGAAGGTGTTATTGGTTACTAGATAAGTATGTAGTAAGCAAAGTTCACTGGCTTCTTTACTATATGTTCTTTTTGAGAAACCACTTTTGATTGGAGGCTTTTTTCTGAAGGTTATGAAAGTAAATCATCTCTTGTTTTTATGTCAGGGCTCGAGAGAACATCGTCCTTGTACATTACCGTGATACACAGGAGGTTTGTTTCTTACTACCTCTTCTCAACTCTCACTTATGTTTCTTGTGTTAGAAAATTATGAGTAGATCAGGGTGATGTATTTCTACATTAGATAGTCACGGTCTTCGATTGGTAGTCTTATTTGCAGTCCTCTGAGAAATTTTTATTGGTAAAACTGATATGTTCAGGCAGCTACGACATCAGGGGACTCAAACTCTCCAATCTCTGTCTCTGATAACTCATCCCCAAATCTTGTGACTACTGAAGATATTGATTTTAGCGTTGATAACTCACATTATCTAGGTGAGAATTAATCTTTGAGTGTTCTTGGTCTTTAACAGCTTTTCTACTTACCATTTACATTAGCATTGTTACCACGATGGATTTGTTGTTTGCAAATTCTGAAAACTTCTTCTGAGTTCTTCATTTGGACACTTATCATACTTTTTTTGGTGGCTCATAGGAAGCAACAACAATCCAGCTGTTAGAAATCATGAGGTTCGGCTTCATGATATCAATACGCTTGATTGGGATGAGTTGCTAGTGCAAACTGATCCTAACAATCAATCTGCACCAATCCTAGGTAACTTATACATGAATTGTAAATTGTACACATCCTTCAACGATATCTGAATATCAGTTTGTGCAGTTAAGGAGCTATGGGATAATGTTGAAGCTACAATCTTTTTTTTTTCTGTGGTCAGATGATATGTCATACTTCACAGAACAGCTCCAAAGTGCTACAAATGGCTCTGCAGAGCATGTGAATGTGACCATGACTGATGAATCTCTTGATGCTTTGCTTAATAAGGGTCCACAAAGCCGAGAGAGTTTTGGAAGGTGGATGAATTCCTTCATCAGCGACTCTAATGGTTCGCTGGAGGGTCCTTCCTTTGAAGCCATGGTTACACTTGTGCAGGACCCATCAGCTCCTCAAGCTGCATATCATCCTAACTCCAATGCACCTGAGCTAGTGTTTAACATAACCGAGGTTTCACCTGCTTGGGCATATTCATCAGAGAAAACAAAGGTATATCGGTTTAACTGAAATGAAACATGTGAATAGAATAACAGTTATGAATTGATGAATGTCCTCACTTTGTTACATGTTGATTCTGCAGATTCTGGTAACCGGGTTCTTACACGACAGTTATCAACATTTGGGAAGTTCAAACCTTTTCTGTGTTTGTGGCGACTCGTGTGTCCCTGCGGAATATGTCCAGGCGGGAGTCTACCGTTGCTTCATACCTCCGCACTCGCCTGGGATGGTGAACCTCTATCTTAGTGTAGACGGACACAAACCAATCAGCAAATGTTTCAACTTCGAACACTGCTCAGTTCCAGTTCTTGATAAGACCGTCCCTGAATACGATCAAGAATCCAAATGGGAAGAATTTGAGTTCCAAGTCAGACTTGCTCATCTTCTATTTACGTCTTCCAATAAACTCAATGTTTTCTCGAGCAAAATCTCACCTGAAAACCTGCAAGATGCAAAAAAACTCGGCAGCAAAACTTCTCATCTCTTAAATAGTTGGGCTTATCTAATCAAGTCCATTCAAGGGAATAAGGTGTCGTTTGATCAAGCAAAAGATCATATCTTCGAGCTTACTCTGAAGAACAGGGTTAAGGAATGGCTTATTGAGAAAGTGCTCGAAGGTCGCCACACACTGGATTATGACTCTAAAGGCCTCGGTGTGATCCACCTCTGTGCCATTCTTGGATACACTTGGTCGGTGCAGCTGTTCTTGTTGTCAGGTTTATCGTTGAATTTCCGTGATAAACAAGGATGGACTGCTCTTCATTGGGCTGCATACTACGGAAGGTAAAAAACTTATAGCTTTCAAAGTAATATGTTACTTGTTTCTGTTAACATACTTTTCTTTTGGGTTTTGAAGAGAGAAAATGGCGGCTACTCTTCTCTCCGCTGGGGCAAAACCAAACTTGGTGACAGACTCGAGAAAGGATAATCTTGGCGGATGCACGGCGGCTGATCTGGCACAACAAAACGGGTTTGATGGTTTAGCTGCTTATCTTGCTGAGAAAGGTTTGATTGCTCAGTTTATAGACATGAAAATTGCTGGAAACATCAGTGGGAACCTTGAAGCTTGCAAGGCGGAGATGTCAAACCGAGGTGTTCTCCCGGAAGATGATCAGACTCTCAGGGACGCTTTGGCGGCATATAGAACAGCCGCAGAAGCAGCGGCTCGGATTCAGGGTGCGTTTAGGGAAAAGGCCCTGAAGGCGGCTCGATCAAGCGTAATTCAGTTTGCCAACGAGGAAGAAGAGGCTAAGGGCATAATCGCAGCAATGAAGATTCAGAATGCGTTCCGGAAATACGATACGCGTAAGAAGATAGAAGCTGCTTACCGGATACAATGCAGGTTCCAAACATGGAAAATGCGAAGAGAGTATCTGAACATGCGGCGCCAAACCATTAGGATCCAGGTATGAAGTGAACCGTTACTACTGTGAGCAGAAACTAATACAACCACACAAGATTATAAGATTCTGCAACGCATAAGACATTGAACAACACCTTTATCCTAACTTTTGTCTGGATTTTGCAACACAGAATGAGAAATAAACCGGTTTCTTTTCTACTCTTTGGCAGGCTGCTTTCAGGGGATTTCAAGCAAGGAGGCAGTACAAGAAGATAATATGGTCGGTAGGAGTATTGGAGAAGGCAATTATCAGGTGGAGACTAAAGAGGAAAGGGTTTAGAGGACTCCAAGTGAGCCAAGGTGAAGCAGACGAGGATCCTCAAGGTGGGGCAGAGGAAGATTTCTACAAAACGAGTCAGAGACAAGCAGAAGAGAGGCTCGAGAGATCTGTAGTACGGGTCCAAGCCATGTTCAGGTCTAAGAAAGCTCAAGAGGATTACAGGAGGATGAAACTCTCTCATGAAGAAGCTCAGGTGAAATTTATGTCTCGTTTTATACATTTTAGAATCTCTCAATTTAGAAAAAAAACAAATCAGAGAGATACTTTCTACTGGAGTTAACGAATCTTGATGATGGTGTGATACAGTTGGAGTACGATTGCCTGCAAGATATTTGATCAAAATGGCTTTGGAGAAGCGAGTCCAAGAGAATTTGGTGTGGAATATGGAATCTATTGATCTGTAAATTATGTGAATGGAAAAGGGTACTTTCGACCTTTCCAAAGCTGGTGTATAATAAAAAATATATATCTGATGAACATAATGAAATTTACTGTAACCAGAGAAAATAATCTTCAAAATTC